CCCGGCCGTTGGCACCGGCCCGATCGCCCCCGGTGCCAGCCCGCCCTGCGCCCGCACGTCCCCACATGCCAGGGATGCCCCCGCGCAGCTCACAGGTCCTGCAGGTGGCTTCGCCACACGAGGAAATCTGGCCGTTGGGACCTGCACATTCCCAGGCCTGGGATGTCCTGTACCAGGAACTTCAGTGCCTCCTGGATACTTGGGAAGTTTGGAGCTCGCTCCAGCTTCCGCAAGTCCCCCGCCCGCATTTGCTGTTGCAATCAGGTTACTGCCGACACAAACCAGGCTCTGACTTGAACATTTCGTTATCCTAATCCATAGCTTCAGCCATGCAGCTCCTTTATATTTCAGCAAAATTCACAAAAATGATTTTTCCTTGCATGAGACCTTGTTTTCTGCAAACAACAAAAAAAAGGTTTCATGGGAACAAATCTTCTCCTCACCTGCAGCCTTAAAACCTTGCTTCCCGATGGGGTCTCTGCGGCCCCGTTCATGCAGTGCAGCCACTGGCAACCTGCTTGGTTTTAAAAATAAATAAATAAATAAATAAAAGAAAAATTACTTCTTTGTGACATAAAATTGCTCCAAGCGATCTTGTTACTGTTGGGAAAGCAGCTCTGCTGTAATCCCATGTCTTTGGGCACTTGTAGCTTCAACAAATTACCCCCTGGGATAAAGTTGTTATCCCTGTTCTCAGTTCCAAGCTAGGTATTTTTTGGAAACATTTCAGATTACCTTTGTCTCTTTTGAGGAAGACTGAAGCATAAAGAAATGTGGGTATTTATTTTATTTTTTTAATCTGTTAAGTAACTTTCAAGTGATTTGTTTGGTGCTGGGATAACTCAGCCCTGGAACTGCCGACTTTCCAAGGATGAGCATCAATATTCCCAGTCACCACGAGGCTTCATCCAGGTACCGTAGCTGAAAATGCAGACTGATGTGGCTTTTCACCCCCACACGCCCCCCAAAAAGCTCAACCCCGGCAGCCACGGGCGCTTCGAGTGTGCACGGGGCTGCGGCTGCAAACATGAGCATGCACGGGGCTGCGGCTGCAAACATGAGCATGCACGGGGCTGCGGCTGCAAACATGAGCATGCACGGGGCTGCAACTGCAAACACAAGCGTGCACAGGGCTGCAGCTGCAAACACGAGAGTGCACGGGGCTGCAGCTGCAAACACAAGCATGCATGGGGCTGCATCATTGCATGCCGCAGAGGAATGGAGCCGCCCCATTTTGGCAGAGACTTTGGGGCACTTGCTAAGGCCAGCGCACTACTTGGTGCCCTAAAAGTTCAAGTTAAGGGGGTGGAGGGAATAAAAAAATGCAAATCTCAAGAAGATTTGGGGGAAACCCAAGGGGTTTGTCACTGCACGTGCCATTAGCAGCACAGAACCTGTGCAGGTGTCATGGCAGCTGCACCTCTTGGCTGCACGCGATGCACCCATGTAAATGGTAGACGTTACTGCTGCGGACTCAGTGCTAAATTTTTAGTTTCCTGGTGTTTTCGCCATTAATCTCTTAATGTGGTAGGTATTGTCATTCAGAATGCGAGAGGACAACAGGCCGCATGGGTCGTGACTTGCAGGGCTGGCAGACCCCTCTCGGCACATGCCCCTTCGGAGGCCAGCTCCCGGCCCCGCTGCACACAGGGAGTTGGGAAGGAGGCACCAGGTGGGCGGTGGGTCCGGGGGCGCCGTACTTGGGCCCGGGCACTGACCAGCTTCTTTCCATCTGCGCAGGATGCGGGACACGAGCCGCAAGAACAACGTGTTCGCCCAGTTCCGCAAGAACGAGCGGGACAAGCAGAAGCTCATCGACACCGTGGCCAAGCAGCTCCGCGGCCTCATCAACAGCCACCACTCGTGAAGGTGCCGGGCGCGCGAGCCCACGTCCAAGGCCTCCGTGCAGGGCCGGGCCCCAGGGCGCTCGGCATCCTTGCTCCAAGAGAGCCCCTGTATTTTTCTATCTGCCTCTATAGTCTCCGCGAAACCTCCCTTCCTGACAACACGGCCCTCGCTCAGCAGGCGCGGGGAAGGAGGTCGTGCTGGGCTCCGCCATTGCCGTCACAAGCTCCTATTTTCAGGGGGTTGTAAAGCTGAAGGCTCAGAGAGAGGTTCGCACCCGCTATTATTGATTATTATTTTGTGCAAGCCAAATTTGAAGCATCAGTTCGACTTTCCTTTAAGTAAGTTATTCAACTGCAGAACGAACACAAGCAAATATACCTATATATATATGTGTGTGTGTATTGGGAGCAGCCACGGTTTCCAATTCTTTCCATGGGCTCCAGTGAAACAACACACGTTTGGGTCGCTTGTTAACCTGTCTTGCAAATTTGCGAGTTGGTTTTGCAGAGGAAGAAGGGCAAACTGATTTCCCAGCCTCTCTCTTTTATTTTATTTTTGCCTCCTGCCCAGTAAGGGCTGGTTTGCACTGTAGCTTGCAGACCACTTGCTGCACTGCGAGGATCTGCTCTTGTCTTCTGTCCCCACACCAAATGCAGAAGGGCTGAAGAGTGGCCTCATTAGATGAGCATAGAGAGTCTGGAGTAAAATCCTTCCACGTCCTCCCGCCTGCACCATGTGGCCTCCCTGGACAATCAGCACCAAGGTCCTGGCTGGTCCCGAAGCAGAGCAGCGGCAGCAGCCAACTCAGCCTGGCTCCAACGTGCCTAAGGACCAACTTCTCTTTGCATTGGAGGTGCCCAAACATCATCCCCTCCGAGCAAGGCATCCTTTGAGGGCAACCCTATTGCCATCAGGGCGTTTCATGGGTTTTGAGTTACAGAAAGAGGGGACTTTCGCCCTTTTCTTTACCCTTCTGACTCTGATTACAGCAGGTGGAAGCTTATCCAGCTGGTTCCCCCACTTACCAAGCCCTGAGGCCACGATGAAGGGAATTAAAGTCTCCGGTGTGTACATAAGCACCCTGGCAGTGCTGTATCCTCATGGACCCATATGTTTTTTTTTTTTTTTTTTTTTTTTAACATCGAACATACCAGGTTGTCCTCGCCTGAAATCACTTGTGAAGGAGATGGATAAACCTTCTCCAGCCTTCCAAGCGAGGTTTGTTTTTCTCAAGCTCTTTCCACGTCGTAAAAGGACAGGGCTGCCTCAACGCTGCTGTGTCGTGACACTTTCTTCTTGCACCTCGTCCCTTTTCTTCCTCACCAGATGCACTTTTTGCTTTGGGTCTCCTACCCGGGGAGCAATTCTGAGCTGCAATTCAGCTCTGGAGACCTGAAGGGGACCGTGCTTAGTTTTCCCTCCTCCTTCCTTAGCAATACATTTTTTTTAACATATATATATATAGGGGTACGCGGTACTTCACTCTGAAAGTAAGTAGGCACGTTGGAAGCAATGAACTGTTGCCCCATCGAGGCAATCTCCAAACATGAGGACCAGTGGATGGAGTATTCTCATGTATGAGAGGGAAGACCAAATGTTGGAAGTTGGCTTTAGGGTTCTTCTCTTCCGTAGGGGGAATCAGAGGGCACTTTCATTTTAACATGTAAAGTACCTGCAAGAAGGGTGGAGGAAAGAGAAGCAGAGGAAGGAAATTTATCATTCCTGTGGCCAGAAAGAGCTCAGCCTTGGTGGAGATGTCCCCACACAAGCCCAGAAGTGCTTGCTCTCAAGGCAGAGTGAAGAAGCAAACTCAGTTGATCCCCCAATGGTGACTTCTTTTCAGCTCTCTGCAAGGCCAGCACCTCCCCATACGGCTGAAGCTGGCCACCTCCCCATGGGTGAGAAGGTCCCTGGAGCTCCTTGGTGGTGCCCAGAGCTGAAGCTGAGTGTCAAACCCAGCTCTTCTGATGAGGCCGGTGACCTTTGTTGCCTGCTGAGTCCCTGTGATCCAGAGCTGTGTCCAGGCAGCCTGAATGCTGTCTGGTTGCGAAAGAAATGTTGCCCAGCTTGTTGGACCCTGGTAGGGAGCCCTCAGTTATGGAGAGGAGGACGGAGAGCCATCCTTGACGCTTGGCAAGGCATCTTGCTTGCCATGGGGAAGCTCTTGGTGCCCCTGCTGTGTCCCACGGAGCAGCGTGGACCACAGGACCTCCTTCCTGTCTTCCGGTGGTACCACCACGGGAGAGGGGGCCATAGTATGAGTAAGAGAAGTGAGGGCAAAACCAGGCAGCATCGAGTGCTCGGCAAGTCACATCTGAGCCACCAAGGTCCTACCCAGAGATCGAAACCAAACCCAAGATACCAGGTGGCACTATGGGAAGCTTCAGCCTGCGGGGCACTCACGCTAAGGGCCATTAAATAGCAAGAAGCACTTTAAAATACTTCAAGCTGCTACAGAGGCTGGCAACGGTGCAGCCGAGCGCCCGCAGGCGTGACGAACCTGGCGCTGCCGCATCGCCGGGGTTATCAGTGGGAGGACGGACTGTCAAACACAATTTTCAGCCGCATTTGTCAGCCGCTGGCCCTGCTGCGGCTCTGCAGCCTTTGCTGCTTTTCCTCCTGTCCAGCACGGGTCTCCTCTCGCTGGGGTGGGCTTCCCCGTCGCTCCTTATGGCGAGGCCATGCCAAGCACTGGGAATGGCGTGAGCTCGCTCGTGGCACACAGCACACCGGCCCTGCTGCCTGGAAAGCGAGTCGTGGCCAAAGAAGAGGGCTGGAGAGTTTCTGCTTTCGGAAGGTCAAGCACCCTTAACCGCAAGTCACATCATGGGATGAAAAATGGAGTTTTGGTGCTCTGTTCCTAATTAACTTTTTCTGTTCCAAGAAGTGCCGCTCCATCCCTTCAAAATAAAATTAATCCTTTAAACAGATCATCCAGAAAGCCCTGCAAGACATTTAAAATCCCCTCTAACCCTCCTACTAATGATCGGTGTCCTCTGTTGTGGACGGGATTGCTTGGGAGGGAGAAGCCCTCGCTGCAGATTCGCAACGTGCGGCAGAGGCAGGGGCAGATTCACACCCCCCAAAATAAGTGATGCTGCTACTAACCCATCCGTGTGCAGACATGGAGGGTCCTTAGGGTTTAATTTTTTTAAGAAGTCTTTTTTTTTCAAGTTTTGGAGGAGGCAGCATCAGGTGTCCTCCCTTGTCCCTCCAGGTCAGCGTGGTGGCATGTGGATCATTCCAGGTCGCTCATGGCAAGTCCCTTGCTCATCCTGCTGCCATCTTGCTCGACCCAACACACTCACACTCCTGTCCCAGGGGCCCGCCGGCCGCTGCTGCCTTTTCCTTTTCTTGCCTGGGGAGGGGAGGAGGGTGGGATTTTTTGTAAATTAAATGTGAGGAAAAGAAAAAAAAAAACAGCTTTTTTTGCACAAGTCGTTGCACAGGAAGGGGAAAATTTAGTAAATTAGGTTTAATTTTAAAGGGAACTTTTACCTTTCTTTCCTTAAAACTCACTAGCAGAGCTACTGATTAAAAAAATGGACTGATTTAAAAGAAAAAGAATAAAAAATAAAATGGACTGCATGGTTTACAGGTTATATTGTGTTAGGAATTAGCATGTTGATCACAACTGTACATTTACCCTATTGTAACTTCTATTAAACAATACAGCATATAACTGTTTCAGTAAGCACCTGTGCTGCGTGTGGCTGTCTGCACCGGGACTCGGGGAGGGACACAGCGTTAGCTGACACTTCGTGGGGACGTGGCCAGAGCCAGAGCAGATCCAGGGCTCCAAAATGTCCCATTTTGGACTTCTGGGAACTGCCTCTGCAAAACGATGCCCTACTGCCAGAGAAAATCCCTAAAAGTCAAAAGTCCCAAGCTCACCAAGTAGGATAGGACGGAGAAGGCCATAGCTGCGTGCAAGAACAGAGGGGTCTTGGTAGGTGGTGAGCTGGCCACAAAGTCCCAGCTCACATCTTTGGAGAAGGGAGATGGGGAACCTGGAGACCTGGAGGAGGTCGAAGCCACCACTGTTTGGTGCTGCGAAGTGTGGCTGCTCCAGCCAGCATGTCACCAATTTGGATGTCTCTGTATCATCAAGGATGCTGAAAATCAAAGAGGCTTTCAGAGAAGGCTTGTTTTTTCCTTCATGTTCTGTTTTTTCCTGTTTTTCATGTTCTGCACCAGAGTAGGACCCTGGCACATGCTCATGTCAGATACATGCTGCCTCATGCTATAGATTTCTCATGCTCCTTGGGATCAGCCCGGACCCCTCCATGCTCCTGGGATCAGGTGGTCGGCAGCAGATGCTCGGGAGGGCTAGCAGCACCCAAGTGTCATCATTTTGGCTTTTCTGAGCCAGGTTGCATGGGGACTTCTGTGTTTATAGTCCTCGAGTACCTCCAACACCTGTTATAAATCCATTTATCCCTTCAGCCTCCATCCTGCCCTGCAGCAAGCAGCTCCACGGGAGGATTTTGGTACGTACAAGGTACCCAGCACTGGGAGGATCTGAGCTCAGAGCTCTGGCCTTGGGCAAGTCCCGGAGTCTTCAGCATGCTTCCCCATGTGCAAAACGGGTGTTGTTTGATGCAACGAGTGATGATGCAGAGGCTATGGGGAAGGGATGCTGTGATGCAGGGAGATGTCGTACCAGGCCCCAAGTGCTACAGTGCAGCAGGGCCCTGCCCACACCTAAACTATGGCACAAGGAAAGGCAGAGCTCGCTGCAGGCCAGCTGTCCTTGTATCACATAACCCTCTGGCCTGGGTGTCTGCAGGGCTGCATGTGACACCCCTGCAGCTCATGGAGGGACACCCCCTTGGACTGAGGTGCCTGCAATCCTATTGCCCAAACCCTGGGGTATGTTGCAGATGCAGACTGAGCATGTCCTATACCCAAGAGGTTCTGCTATAGTAAATTCACAGCTTGATGGAGGCATCTTCCAGTCCCAAGACCTTACTCAGCCCTGTGGCAGCTCTGCTCCTGTGGCTCCTGAAGCTGCCTGCTTAAGGAGGAAGA